TAAATTAATGATAATTGAATGAATATTTAGCATTCCTGCTCAATATACTTACTAATTTCAATGACTGCTTTATATTTTCCAGTATTCTATTTTATCGAAATATGATGCATGTTGGTACACGATATGGCTACTATATATACGTAGATTCGATTGACAACAATGACTTGGACGGGACTAACGATCTCAAAACATGACAGACAAAAGCTTGCGGGGCTAAATAAAAAAAATATTTAAAACAAATAAAAATTAAAAAAATACTAATAAAATAGCAAAACCCCGGGGACCCGCAAATAAATCGCATATTATTGTATTTTTATGCTATCTGTCTTTATGCAAAAGCTACATGACAAATTTGAATGCTATTTTAACAGTTGTATGCTGCCTGGAAACCAAGCCACAGACACTTCAGCTCATTGCGGCGTTCTCTAATGCCAATATCTAGAGTTTAGGGAAACAGTTATCGCCCAGTCACCCGAGTCTGTGATAATCAGTGACCAGTTCAGTTGCTCTCAGAGCGCTGATGGCCAACGCTCTGTCACAGGAAACTCACGAAAAACAAAGAAGTGCGTCGTATGCTCTTCTCTGTGACTATGAGATTATCTGAGACGGAATCTCACGAAAGCTCTTGCAGAGCTTAACAAACACAGTCTGGAGAGCTTACAATACATAAGACAAATGTGCACCACAAATTTTCAGTTACAAGCATTTTTCAATTTTTTTCTGAATATGACACAATCACGGTGAGATATACCGTAATTGTATCCTATTCAGCGTGTGCAATAAAAAGTTTCTACCTATCTATGTATATTTCTTATTTAGCTATTATTAAATTAAATCTCTCTACACATTACTTAAATATAATGTCTCTTTGAAACGTGTCCTCAAAGCAACACATAAAACCCTACATATTTACGAAGCTAAAACGCTGAAATAATCCGAAACCAAACACCCGGCAGCTAATATGAATATAGCTTACTTTAATCCTGTATGCAAGTGATGTTAAATTGAAATTCCATGTTTTGAGACAATCCATATAGTAAACAACGCTCGATTTTTAGTTAAAAATTGTGGATGGCATTTTCCAATATTTTTTTCAAATAAAAGCATAAGCTATTCACAAACATCGAACTATCCATTGAGCAATAAGAATGTAAATGCGTAAATAGGCTTGCTAATGCTCTATGAGGACTTTAGAAAACAGTAGACAATTTTTTTGTGATCAGGTTGCCCTGAAATAGCCAAGTTACTTTATTTTTTAAATAAATAAATATGTCTAAGATTAAATTTATATAATATAATATTAGATTAGAAAACAAATAACAATAAAACTTAACAAGTTGAATACAAAACTAGAATTTTACGCTAGACATTCCATCATCATATGGGTATTATTATTATTATATTTGGTACATATGAACCTCTTTGTAACATAAATCCGGAAAAAAGATTATCATAAAAAAATGAATAGATGATTGAAAATTATGGTAAATCAGTAATATATATGTTTATTTATGAATACTGGATGAATGTATTCGTATCGCAGCGCTGTAAAACCATAATTAATGAAAGACATTTAAGAAGTTCCTCAATAAAAATATTCCTTAAAAACCCCGCTATAAAATGGACTGATATAAATGATTAGAAAAAAGTTGTTATGACCAATAGATTCCTGTTGTCAAATCATAATCAAAGTAATTTAGTTTTCAGGCAAGTAAATTTTTAAGTAGTAACCTACTTGACCAAAGTTGTAGTTTTTTTGCCTATATTTCATCAGATAAACCATAAAAACCAATTGTACTTCTTTTTCCAAGATGGCGGCCGTAGGACAAGGGTTGCAACCCCAAAAACTTGGGTTTAAATTTACACTAACCCATCCTTGATATCTAAAAAATAAAATTCCGTCCTCTAACAAATGCAACTTTTCAATGGACTATTAGTAGATATTTTTATATAAGATTGTTTTTTAAAGTTCTATATTTATGTAAAAAGCTTTAATTACATGATAGCCACATCATCCAGTGATCAACAGACGATTCGAATTATATCTAAAACGACAGAAAAAAAGAATGTTATTTTCTAAAAAGTCTAAGTCTAGTGCTTCTAGTATCTCTTTAATTAAATTCTAACGAAATCCAATAAAGTCAAGAACTCAGTCGTTTATACCTCTTTCAATAAGTTTTATCAAATGTTTTGTAGCCATTCAAGATGTAACATTTCTTTACAACATTCTAATTGACTTAGAACATTTTCTGTTTCAATTAACACTGTAAACACTATATTCAGCTTTTGATATATTTATGTCACTTCATTTATTTCATTCCATCCATCATCATTACCATCATAATAATTTTTATAAATCATCGAATTCATATTCTGAAAGTGGTGAATTGTATTTGTAAATTGCTAACTTGTTAAAGGTAGAAATGCTTGTGCCTTTGCGTTGCTGGTGTCCAAGAGTGCAGTAATACTTATTGATTGCTCTCTCTACCCATCTGCTCGTTTGCTTTCAACTTCTTTTTTCATACCCTTTCTTTTCACACAACGCCATCTAGTTTTAATTTAAAAAAATTAAGACATCTTCCGATACCTTTTTTTTTGTAATACACATACGTATAGACAACACCCAAACTCGGAAACAAATATTTGCAGATCATACAAACATTTGTTCCCACTCGGGATCGAACCCGAGACCTTAACACAGCAGTCGCATACGCTACCACTAAAAATATATAAAAAATTATGTCATTAAAAAACTGATAAAGGTAACATTTTTTTGTCGAGAGATTTAAGGTTACCGGGAGACGCCATCGTAGTGATGTAGAAGCCAGGAGTATGAGGTGTTTTCACAAAAATAAAAAACTCCCCAGAACGCTAGCCTCACACACCCTGCTCTGGGGAGAACCCGGACCATGTGGTTTCAGGTCCCTCCGAGTGTTTGCAATACTTACCTACATTCTATTGAAATTTCAAAAAGTGAGGTCAGTTTTAGCCTCTACGACAAAAGCTGATAAATTTTTTGGCTAAATGCCTGTTGTGATTATCAAAAGGTTTTTAGAATTGCTAAAACCTGTACAATAAGGCTTTATGCACTTCATAGCCTGGTAATATGCTCGCTCGCTGCGAATACAATGCATGCACGGACATAGACGCCGTTTATCAAATCAGAATATAGCGACGGGGCTAGCCAATTCAATTTTGAAATACACGCACAAACTCTTTACATGGTTTGGAAAACCTATTTTCATATACGCGTCAGTAACAACTGACATATGCCTGGATTTTATGCAAGCGGATGGACACTTAAACCCAAGAGAGAATAATTATGTGTTTTTACAGCGATAGAATACTCGTAGAAAGTGATTGATACATTAGATTAAAGGAGGACTCAAAAAGAGGCAACGAACTTGTGACTCTTGAGTTACAGATGTCTATTTGCGGCGGTAGTTACTTACCATCAGAAGACCCGTCAGCTCGTTAGCTATCCTATACAAGAAAAATAATCAAACCCAGATATTAGGTAATTCAATCGATTTTAAGTATACTAACACATCAACAAAGTCTAAGCAACACGCATCATGTACAGAAACTGCATGTTATTTTATTTTTTCTTTGAAATTATATCTTTCTGTTAGCAAAAGTAGATTGGTATACAATTTTTTTAGTTCTCGGAAACATTTACTGGCTGATTTTGAGATAGAAACTTTTCTATTTTGTTTTGTTTTCATAAAAATAAAAGCTAACTATTTTTCTCGGTTTCATGTGTTTTCGTTGCTTGATACATTTGGTATTTATCTCACTTCTATCATTTTGCGATATACCTATAGTTTTTGAAATATTTGACTGCTGATGAAATACAGAGAGCTGTACCAATTCTATAAGCGGGCAGAAATCATTCGTTTGGATTTAGGCCTGATAAGAGAAGGGTAAGAGTGTATCGTCGTCCCAGAAATGCTGCACGGCGGAGATGCATCCAGGAAGTGCACCCTGTCAGGGTGCACTCCTGATGGCTCCACAGTGATTGTATGGGCGAATAATATGAAGAACAGACGAACTGAGCTCAATTTTGTAGATGGCAACATGAAAGCTGAAACTTACATTGAAGATATCCTCGGGCTTTATGCATCAAAATATGCATCAACAAACGCTTAGTTATTATTTATAAAAGAAATAAATGTAAATACATTACAATAGTAAAAATCGTTCAAAAGTTCAAAACCGTATATTGCTTAGACTTTTTTGGTCGTTCCATGAACATTTTAATACCAATAATCAGACCAAAAATAATACCGTAAATATTACTAGTATTTGTAGTAATATTACATTTATTTCCTTTTTAATATTAGATAATCAGAGACGATCGAAAGGCCTGCCTTGATTCTGTTTGCTTCGATGAGCGAAACACACCCTTAATCGCTGATATGGACTCACCCTAAGGTAAGTCAAAGAAAACTTACTTTAAAATTCTTTTCAACAAAAGAGATTAAAACAATAGCTTTCTTATTTTAATTTTATTTCAGAATTATTTTAAAATAAAACTACCTTAGGGTTTTTATTTTAGAGATGCGTAAAATTGATTCAAATCTACGCTCTCGAAATTAAACAATTACATGTAGAATATCGATTTTGCGCATCCCTGACTTAATTATTGTCATAAATACCTGTAATTCAAAAATATAATTTTGACCTACTTCACTCAAATACCCGCTGAAACATGGTTATTATTACATTATTTTTAAATCTGTCAATGATGACTAGATGCATTCAAACCTAGTCCGAGCCTTTACGTAATAAATGGTTGCAAAAAATTAAATGTATTTACTTATACATTTTACATTAGCTTGTTATTTTACTGTGTAAATGATATCTATAACGATATGAGCTTTGCACAACATTTAAACAATATTTTATTAGTTATTACAATTATATTATAGTTTCTTACGACAAGGAAACCTAATATTTACAAAAAAACCTCCATTATAATTATGTGAATAAATTATATTTTATCGGTAAATTTTTTCATCGTGTGGGGGTAGGCTTATAAAGTAAGGTGCGGGTGGTGGTGGTGCTAAGTATCTAACTGAACCTGGACCAGACTGCATCTTGTGAGGTAAAGTGGCGTTAGACAACGACGGTGGTGGTAACGTACCCGCATAACCTGGCCAAGGAGGTCCCCATACAGGCGCACCACCAGCTGTCGGGCTGCTAGCCAACGGACCTCCTCTATATGAAGTCGACGTCATTCGCAACCTAACAACACATATAGCAACTATCAAGATTGCAATAAACGCTACAACTCCTCCGACAATTCCAATTATAAGATTATCGTCATTATTCGTGCTCGTTACTCCAACTACAGATGCCCCTTTTGGCTCTCCGGTGGCTTTGGGACGGTCATGAGCTGGTGCGACGGACCAAATTATATCAGGTTCTGACGATGTACGAACGATTCTCGGAGTAGATGTAGTAGAAAGACTTGTCGATGTCACTGTGGTTCGCCGTTTAGTTTCACATGTCAATTCATCGTCTCCTATTTCCACTAATAAAAATCCAGATAAATGTTCTGGGGACTCACATTTAACGTCCATTATGCCTACATTTGGAAGCCATCGTCTAAGAGCTCGAGTGTTACAATCACAACGGATAGGGTTAGTATCTAAACCAAACATCGATAAATCCGCCCGACGGTCGTCTAAAGCTACTAGTAGTTGTGGTTGCAAAGTCGTCAATTGACTTCCAGCTACATCTATAGTTATTTGAGAAGATCGAGGCAATGGGAAAAGTAAAGCAGGCGGTAAACTAGTTACAGATGTATTTCTAAATTTGACCGTTATTGCTGGAGCCTTTAAACCAGCCAATACACCAGATGATACAGTTCTCAAACGTGAACCTCTTATTCCCAATTCTTCTAGACGTGGATGAAGTATTGTGTGCAGTTGATCGGCGCCGATTGTAGTATCTTTAACTTCAACATCCAATTTTTCTAAAGCCAATAAGTACGCTAATGCACCTTGCACATCAAAGTATCCTAGTCTTGGATATCCATATGCTCTTAGTTCAATTAAATTTGGCAGTGATCTAAAAGCATTTTTTTCAATTCTAGTACATTTTTCCAAATTTCTCATATCCAAAACTTGCAGTGACGCAAGATTTTCAAAATTATTTTCCGTAATCATTACCATAGGATTACCGGAAATATTGAGCCGTTGGAGATTTTTGAGTTTAGGCCATGATATAGAGAGTGAACCCGACACGTCAGTAATTTGATTATCTGAGAGATCAAGCGATTCAAGTAATGTAGTTCTTGTGAAAGTTTTATCTGTTAGTTTAGTTATTTTGTTAAAAGATAAGTTCAAGTTGTGTAGGAATGGTGTTTCTAGCTGGCCAATTGTTTTAATACCAGTTCCAGCTAGATTTAAGTCGCGCACAGTTTTTGGTTCAGTTAGAACATTGCTGATAGTTTTTTCAGACAGTGGATTAAACGATAAATCTAACTTTTTGATATTAACCATTACACTATCCTCAGCTGGTATATCGATTATTTGATTATATGATAAATCAACTGATGAGACGAAAAAGTACTGTTTTTGCAATGCCTTTAAGGGAGCGTGTTCAAATAAATTCCTGTTTAAAATTATGTTCTCTAGCATGTGTATTCTTGATCGTTCAAAAATGTTATCCGGCAACTCAGTTAATAAATTGTCACCTAAGTTCAAAACTTCTAGCCGTATTAGTCCTTCAAAGAGTCGATCACCCAGTCGGTCTATTTTATTACTCGACAAATCCAGATGTTGAATCTGAGTAGAGTTGTGAAAAGCCATTTCGCTTATTGACTCAAGCTCATTCCTAGCCAACAAGATAGTCCTTAGTTTTGGCAACCGAGCAAAATCAAGTTCATCAACGTTTTTCAGAGCATTGCCAGACAAATCCACTAATTCAAGATATTGTAAAGTACTTATAAGTTCTGACGGAAAGAAGTTAAACTTATTGTTGCTAAGTATAATTTCTCTTAAGCGCGGGTGGATTTTAAATGACGATGGAAACAAGTAACTCAATTGGTTGTCAGATAGATCTATAATTTCGAGACTCGTTCCAGTATTGAAGAACTCTCCTTTAAAAGCGTTAAGTTGGTTGCCTTTCAAGGATAAATATTGTATATTCATAACGTTTACGAAAGATGGTGTTCTAATAGTGACAATATTATTGAAAGATAAATCTAAATGAGTTAGATTTCTAAGATTTTTGAAAGTGTTTTCAGATACTTCTTGTAACAGATTATAAGACAAATCAATTTGTTTTAAATTAAGTGTTTTAGAAAACAAATTAACAGGCAGTGCCTTTAAACCAACATGGCTTAAGTCCACAGTCATAAGTGCTTGGTTATTTTGAAATACATTCTGATGTAGTGTGCTCATATGTGAATTGTGACTTAAATTAAGGTGAACAAGACTTGGAATATATTGGAATGCATCTACCGGTATGTCTGAAATTTGATTATCTGAGATGTCCAAGAACCACAGGTTAATAAATTTCAAGGGTTCTCCTACAAACTCTAGAATTCGGTTTTGGCTTAGCGATAAGAATTTAAGAGGCTGTTCTAAACCACTAAAAACTTCAGCACTTATGAAATTCAAAAGATTTCCCGAGAGATCCAGGTGATGTAAATTTGTGAAATGATCAAAAGCTGCTGCTGGTAGTTCTCTGATGACATTGCGTGAAAGGACTAATGAAGTGACTCTATCAGAAACTGCCTTGAGAATGTCATTGGACAATGCAGTTACTCTGTTATAGCCTAGGTGTACTGAGATTAGATTAGGCAGACGTGAAAGAGCGGTGGCTGGAATAAGCAGTATATTATTGTCACGAAGAAGTAGTGTTTCAAGACTTGTTAGACCATCGAAAGCATCATCTTCAACCTGAAAGAAAAGAACGAATTACAATGGTTAAAAATTGAGATAGTGGAATAAAGTGAAAGATTAAAGTACTATCGTTTCTACTTTAGATTCTTTACACTAAAATCCCAGGTAGTAAAAATATGACATTAAATACCCTTGATAAGGTTGAGCGTTATTCAAGTATAATTTTATCTTCAATAAGTAGCTACCTAAAATAATTAACGTCATAACGTAGCTATCGTTCATTATTTAGGTCCCAACCCTTTCAAAGCGATTAAAAAACTTTTATTTCACAAAAATATAGAACACAAAATCTTAGCAATTGAACAAGATTTTTGTTTTATCCCACGAAGTTGTTTTGAAAGGCATTAGAGTAAAATTTCTCCTGGGATAAAATTTTTCTTTTTATTAAATTTTGATTGATGATTTAGCCCTTGTCTGAACCTTGTAAAATTGGTTTTAAGAGTCCTTTACTTTATTGTCATAAACATAATAAGCAACTTTGAAGCGTGGAAGTCTTCACGGCTATCAGCTCACCACAATCATTCGGAAAGTGATTACGCGAGAGCAAAATATACCACAGTTCATGACAATAATTTTACCGATGAGCGATTTAGTGGTACTTTCTAGACTACTAGAGCTATTGGAAAGGAGTTTATATAACAGGTAACGATCTGTTATCAAATATACTATATCACATCACCAGTTTTTTTTTAATAATATTGTTGTTTGGAAAATTTATTATAATCGATTGACTCCCACACCATATGAATTTTTTTTTTCTTCCTTGAAGCATTTTAAGCATGTAGTTCCCGACTGTTATATTTTACTGATAAATACAACAATCTTGTTCAGTAGGAAGGAAAATGCTGTCCTGGCACGTTTCCCGCCTTTTGATATCCTGGCGGATATGGACGCTAGGGTCTACGACCAGACTCGCGCGATTCGCCTGGGTGACAGCGGGAACGACCAGGACGAGCTCGAAATGCGGCGAAACGCTCACCGACAGGCCCTGGCACAGTGGCGCGCGCGGTTGGAACAGCCGCGGAATGCGCGCCAACGTGCTGTCAGTGCCGTTTTGCCTAACCTCGAAGCTTGGGTAGGAAGGGAGGGAGGTCGCGTCACCTACCGACTGACGCAGGTGCTCACTGGGCATGGCTGCTTCGGTGAGTACCTGAATCGGATTGGACGCGAGGAGACGTTACAATGCCAGCACTGCGCAGCCGACTGGGACTCCGCCCAGCATACGCTGGAAGATTGCCCCGCGTGGGCATCTGAACGCGAAGTCCTGGTCGATGAAATTGGACGAGACTTGTCCCCGCCAGCAATCATTACTGCCATCCCGGCGGGTGAGGAGGGCTGGGGCGCAGTGGTCTCTTTCTGTGAAGCTGTAATGCTCCAGAAAGAGACCGCTGAACGGGATCGGGAGAGGGCCGATCCCGAGCGAAGAAGACGTCGACGACGTAATGAGCAGCCGACGGGACCGCGGGCCGCCAGAGAGTGGGGACCTCTGGTGGCAGATTAATTGCTACGGTAGGGGAAAGGATGGCAGCCTGATCGCACTGAAAATGTGATCGGGCTGCAACATCTGGATAGGCTGAGAGGCAGGGAGAAGCCACTGGCTTTCCCTGAGATGGGACCTAGCTAGGTGCGGCGTCGATCTGGGGGACCTGAAATCACATGGCCCGGGTTCTCCCCAGAGCAGGGCGCCTAAGGCTGGCCGTCGGAGTGGTTTTTAGTGGAATCACCACATACTCATGGCTCCTATATCCCCAAGGAGCCAGAGATCCGAAGGGATTTTCCACTCCGTCAACAAAAAAAAAAAAAAAAAAGAAAAAAAAAAAAGGAAAATGCTAGATAGAAATTTCGAATTAAATTCTCAAATGATCTCAAAAGACTTACGGTGCGAAGAGCATTGACGCCTACATCCAAATAACGTAGCTCAGTTAACCCAACAAAAGTTCCAGGTGACAGCTTAACTAGATTATTTCTGCTTAGATCCAGAACTTGAAGAGAAATTAAAGAGCTGAGATGACTGTTGCCTATGTTCTGAAATAAAAAATGAATAATTATCATTAAAACATAATAGTGATCAAATTTAGTCATAATAATTAAAAAAGTCGTAAACAGATATTCAGTAAGAAATGAAACAAACCTGTTTCTAAAGGTAAACTATAACTGTTATAGGGATATATACATTTACAAATATAACAGTTATAGATTTATATATAAATTAAAAGTATAAAAAGTTTTATTTTTATTGTTAATATATCAGATCTGTATCTATAGCTTATTTGTCACGTAAAACCTTCATTTTTCGGTGAGTATGTAAAATCCTCAGAAAAATTATAATTCTTTTAACTGTTCGCAATGACGAACCTTTACAACCTTTACAATTACGTATCCAATTAAAACGATAAGGCCGCCCATTGTACCACTGTTTTTTTAATTTTATGTTTATATTACATTGTATGTTTTCTATCCATGGTGTGCAATAAAGAGTACCTATCTATCTATCTATCTAAAACTCGTAGAGAATATTCAGAGAAGTCAAGCCAATTAATTGATTAGAGTTATTTTTCATAATTTTCTTGTGGATTGAAACTTAAATAACTTCATATATCATTACATACTAAGAGATGGACTAAGATATCCAGTAAAAAATTTTTCTTTTTTTTTTTGTTATTATTTTTTTTTTTTTAAAAAGACAACTCCCGCATTAGGAAAATATCCTGTGTGGCGGGGCATCTTACAAACATACATGAAACGGACACAAAGAACACCCAGACTCAGAACAACAATTTGTGGATCACACAAAGTGTCGTCCCATGTGGGATTTGAACCCACAACACTCGGCGTAGTAGGGAGCGGCGTGTCGACCGCTTAAACCACTACGCCATCCGTGCAGTCAAAAATTAATATCCAGAAGATCATCACTGCCACTTTAATTACAACTTTCTACAGATAATTACTAGTAATAGATTTCTAGCAAAAGGACCTATTAATCGATAAGGTATTACATAAATCATTACCTTTAATTTAATTTACAAGCTGTTAAATCTATACATCGATAACCTCCATCAGTTATTAACGCCAATAATAATAGTTCCCGTGTCAAACCTACGATTAACTTGTTAAAGAGAAATTAAGGCTCAGCTAAATTTCTAGAGAATTGACTATCGTAACTGTGTTATTAAGGGATAATCTGACAAGTTGATCGAGCTGAACTAATGTGGTTTATACTTCAGTTTATACCATTGAATTAACTTTAATGTAATGGGATTAGTAGTTTTAATACTCAGTATATACACTAACACGCTAATAATATAAAAGCTATTCTGATCCAAAGCAATTCTCACCTGTTTTAGCACTTTGACAGGAAATTGTTACGTGAACACACTACTGAACTTTACAATTATAATAGTTAAAGTAGTGGCTTCTTTAAGCAAGTTACATCGAAAAAAGTAGGTGTTGTAACTAGACTGATGAAGTTCCGCTTTATTTCTCACAATTCAAGGAAACTTTTTTTCAACCAACATTTCAAAGTTAACCAAAAGTTTATACGAAAGCAAAATTAATTTTTATTTAGAACGCCTTAACCTTAAAATTTTTGCCAACGCATCCTTTTAACTACTAATTCTGCACCCTAGTCGATATAACTCACCCATCCATCATACCCTGGACACCAATCAGATCGATTGTCCTCGTTTAGAACTATATAATACCAAACATTTTGTACTATACCTACATTTTATACTATACCGTTTTGTACTATATAATACCAAACATCATCCCCTAATCCCTAATCCCCATCATCAACCCTAATTCATTTATCTAAATCATCGTTATTTCACAAATAGAGTGGATGAAAATGTTCATAGCTCAGACTCTGAATATCCTCTTTTTCCATAAACTTGTCAAGACCAATTGTAAGAGCTCAAACAATACGAATTATTCTGAGTGGATAAAAAGTTAGTCACCTACAGACTAACGTATTAATTATTAATTAGGAATTATCCAATAATTCCTAATTGCAGCTAGATCGGTAAGTGGTATGAATTTAGTTATAAAACTTGACGCATACTAATACCTCAAGCTAAATAAAAGTTTGAAAGCAATCAGGTAAAACATAATTTCTTTATGTTTTTAGTATAAAAATAAACCTAAAATATTTTAAAAGAAACTTCAGACTTACCGTGATCATATTACTCGAAATATTCAAATGTTTGAGAGCGGCAAATGACTTCAACGCAACCGTGGGAAAGTCTGTTATAAAGTTCTCCGAAAGGTCCAATTTCTCTAAATTTTCAGCCCCTTGAAACACGTCACTGTTGAACTTAGAAAGTCTGTTTCGTCCCAAGTCCAAGGACTGCAGATCCTCGAGGCCTGCAAAAGCTCCACCTTCGATGGAAGATATCATATTTCCATGAAGGTCTATTTCTTCTAAGGTCTTTTGAGAGATGAAAGAACCTTGTCGTATTAGTGCTGAAAAAAAAATTGTGACTTATTTTAAGGAGTAATTTGAAACAGTTTTTAGAATATATATTTTTTTGCAAGAAAGAACATAACCTTTTTGTTGTTATTTATTGGTTTTATAATCACTTTTTTATTTAGACTTTTAATTAATATATTATATTGTAATAGGTACTTGTGAACTGAAATATTGAAAATGGTTAAAGGTTGTGCAAACAATCGTTACCTAAAACTTTGAATACATTAAATACCAAAGTTAAGGTATATTTTGTAAACGTGGGAACGGAGGTAATGGCATTAAATAATAAAACTAAAAATTTAGAAGTTATTTTTATTTAAAAAACAATAGAGGTAGGCCAGAATCGATTATTTTGCAATATAATATATGAGTGGCAAAATGAAATTGAAAAGGAACAGGTAGACCGCAAAGAATAATTATATTATTCTAAACTTATTAGTCACTTCTATGGCTATGTACAACATTTTCTGTACATAGCCCTCTTTCGCAATAAAATAAAACTTACCTATACTATTTTCGTTCAAAGAGAGCACTTTCAGCGCCTGCGGTCCATTTAATGAAGATGAAGGTACATAGTTCATGTTATTACGGTCCAGTCGCAAGACCTGCACAGAAAATTTATGTTTTCTAACCAAACTTTAACTTATGCGTTCACGTTAGTCACAAAACTTTGCCTTGGGCTTGTGAAAATAAAGTAGACATACCTTTCAGAGAACACACATGGTTTCACGGCATACTTAACTAAGCAAAATAATGTACAGCCAAGTTGAAGCACGATAAGTATAAAAAAGTGTAAAAAAGTAATTATATTTAAAATTGTAGGTTTGCGTTCCCATGGTAGGAATGTTAACAGAGTCGTTTTTAAACGTTATCTTATTTTACAAGATGAGAACGTGATTTCTATCTAGTACATTCTTCGAAAACAGAAAACGAAGTTAGATTACATTCCTCAGGTCAGTAGATACAGAGTGAAAACGTATACCTACCTAAAAAGTGATTATGTGAAAAGAGATTCAAATAGTTTGCTTGCTCTTAAAAGATAAACGTTACTATTAAAACAATATTACTGATGTTGGTGATTTCGTTTTAATAAAAATCTAGGTTTGAAATTACATTCCTGTTTTTGCACAAATTTGCAATGAACACAAATTTGTTTCACAAAGAGCAAACGAGAAGACATGTCACCTGATGGTACGAGTAAGATATTATTTATTTATGTATGTATCTACAACAAGATTATCTTTGTAAAATTTTTCTTCCAGATAACAATAACCAATTTATTTACTGAGATTGTTTTCGGTTACGAAAACGAAATTTTGGAATTCATCATTTTTTTTTAATTTCATTGCAAGCAAAGCATATTCGATAGAAGTCTGTATATATAAAAATGTTGAGTTAGTTTGTGTACGTTTCAAAACTCAAAAAGTTCTGCACCGATTGGCATACATTTTAACACGTTACAACACGCTTCAAACATGATTTTATCTTTTTTTTGTAACCACAATTTGCGACTGCGAATCGTGGCACAGTACAGTTAGTTGAAAATAAAAATCCAAACTGGAATACACAGCTACCTTCATCACTACAATAAGTGATGGACAGCAAACCATTATATGAATTGAAATTTATCGAAAAGCACTTCACAGAAAACTGAAGCTTCTCCTCAGGAAGGTTAGGAGATGGAAGTTGTATTTGTTAAAACTACCTTATTATACCTTACAAATAAGGGGCCCTTTGTACATTATATATCTGTCATTTTTGTCTACTTCGTTAAACGGTGTACAAATAAAGAGTTTTCTATCTGATTATTTGAACGTAGCTTTATTACCTTTAGTACTTCACAACCGATTAGAAGACCTTCTTCTAGTCCGCGAATGCTATTCCCACTTAAGTCCAATTCTTCCAAAGCTGGCAAGTTATGAAGTTCAGCCGTTGAAAATATTGGGTTTAAATTATCACCAAGTAAATTATCGGCAAATACTAGTTTAGTAATATTGCCTTTAACACCAGCTAAGAGTCGGTCTGGAAGCCTCCGAAGACTGTTGTGGGAAAAGTCTAATTCTTTCAACGGCAGTCCATAGGATGAAAATATCTGAAAACAGTAACAATTACACATGGTTAGTATTAAAATTAAGTGAAATTATGACATTGTAAAATTATGATTTGCAGTAGGGTTTTTAAATTAATTCTAATAGGTAAAACAATTTAAATTTTTTCTGTCCGTTTTATGTGACATGTTATAAAAACGCACACAAGTGTGATTTGAGGTAACTCTTGCGCCAGTCTATTATTCTAATATTCACGTATTTGTATGACTATATGTGCATATAGATGTGTTGTATCAATCATTTGAAATATTGGTACGAGGGACTAAGTTTGCACTCGTCAGAAATATTGTTATTAGGTAAGTACGTATTTGTATCGCTATATGTGCATATAAATGCGTTGTATCAATCATTTGAAATATTGGTACGATGGACTAAGTTTTCACTATATATACTAGAATACACTATACTATATCCACCAGAAATATTGTTATTAGGTAAGTATTTATTCTTTTAATATTCGCGCATTATGATATGAATTTTCATTTGGTCTCTCTGTTGAAATTTCAACGAATCTCCAATTTAGTCTTCTTAGTTGAATGGTTATGCCTACTGTACATACATTAGAGGTATATTAAACAAGTTGGGTCGTAGTTGATTTAGTTGCTTGCAAGTGGTAGGTATAAAAATTAGATGAACTTCAACATAGTATGACATCGGAACTGCCCTTTCAACTAAAGAAAGTAACTCTTATAGGAAATGGCTACCAAGTAGATTTTAGATTCTAAATCTATATCTAGTCTTCAATAGCTATTTTTAGTTTTAGAAAACCATCAGTGCCCGAGTTAGACTCGCACTTATCTAGTTTTCTATAACACCACTATAAGTATGCACTTTGTACATGTTTTGACAGTTATAATAAATATATTTACACGTTCTATAATTTATATCTGATATATAAAACTGTATATTCAATGAAGTTTTCACCTATCATTTTAAACGTTACTTTTTTAATCAAGATCTGGTAGTTTCTAACTTCAATTATACCGTATTATTAAAGCAATATATCCCTAAAAGAGCTACGGATGAAGACTTTACTTGCTCAATACCCGTACTCGGAACTTGGACCACTTGATTCCTAGTTGAATACCGACGGATTTCGAAGACAGAGTACTTTAGAAGGTCCAATAGTTTGCAAAGTTATGATCAAGAATATATTATCTAGTTGTTAGATACCGCTAGAGTGCTCGCAGACAATACCACTGGATAGTACTAAGTTTTGAGGAGAAATAGAGAGAAAATTGCTGACTCTCGGAATAATATCGGCCAAGTAAATTTAGTTTAGACAGGAGCACAATGACTTGCCTTAGTTTACCTATCGCGCAAGTAGGACCATAATTTTATATTATTCAGCGGTCTCTTTCTAGAGCATTGCAGCTTCATAGAATGAGACCACTACGCCTCAGCCATCCTCACTCGTCATCAATGCCGTACATCATAGGAACCGAACGTATATTAACAGGTACGCACAACATAGGTGCATAATATACGTAACAAAAACAACGACTAGATAAAAATTGGTGTCGTTCAAACAAAACTGCAAACCGAATATCCACTTATTTTAATATTCGTATAGTATTTTACAAGGATTTTATGTTCATTAATTAGCGCGTTAAAATAATAAGTAAAAAGTAATGCTTTTTGTTGGTATAGTAATTATGTGAAAGGATATTTAACACATTAAAAAGAGTTTAAGTGTTAATAGCCAGTACAAATCACTTAAAGCTATAAAAATGAGAAATTTTATAGAAGTCTTCCAATGTTGGACCTTTTTATATTTTCAACGCCTGCTTCTGATTGAGAATTTAATGAGTACAATTTAATGTTAAATTCTACTTTTGGAATTTACGGATAAGATTGACGGACCCATTTTTATATTTATTCATTTTATTTAGAATACCGAATTATTCAATTTTAGATTCAGCATGAAATTGGCATTGGCATTAATTTACACTGAATATGTCACTTAAAGAAATACACAACAACTTCATAAAGACTTCGATTGCAATCATAGAAGTAAGTCGACAAAAACAATTCAGTTCTATTTTTATGGATTTCAATAAGTTCGTATTAATTAATCTGTTTTAGAAGAGGTCGTTTGTCGGTTTGCACCCAGGACAAAGAACTAAGGAATAAGCAATTATTTGTTCAGTGTCTGGGTGTAATTAATCTAAAACATGACGTATGTATTTAGTAATATTTGTATAAGTATATTTATTAACAGTCTGTTTATCACACAGAACAGTCAAAAGAGGTTTACCATAATACAAGTATAGGCCCTCTCTATTTTAGAATGAGATGGCTGTGTATGTGCTATGTCTTTTATTAACTTTAATTAACTATTATTACATAACTTGATATGAAAAAACCTGCGCCGTCATAAATTGCCCAGAGGCATTTTTAGTCTTTATTGTTTATATATAGTTAAAAGTTTCGGCGTCCAATTAAGTACGTGGTTGAAAGGCATGAAGTAGATCTTCAAATATTACGCGAAACCTACGAAAAAAAAAACACTATGCAAAAGATATTATGACTTTATAATGTAGTGTTACACTACTGTACCACTACTACTTTCAATTATTAACAGACATCCTCATAGTGAACATTGTAATAAACTATATACTTTCATTTCTGACGAAAAGGGAACTATTACATCACCATCACATTATCAGCCTTAAATACTCCACTGCTGAACATAGGCCTCTCCTTAGAAAGGACAATTGCAATTACGCAAATCTGCGATGCGGCCATGTCGTCGGCCTCCAAGGAAGGAGGTCTCCTGGTGGTCGAGGTGGGGTCGACCTGTCGGACGCCCAATTCTGTTGTCGAGCGGGTCGTTCGACTGTCGGCGCTGTGCTGCATCTGAGAGCTGTGACCGAAGAGGCGGTGAGCTGTGGTGGCGTGCTGTTGGCAGTGTCATTGGACATCGCCAAAGCTTTCCATAGTCTGCCAGTCAGTCATTTGTAACGCCGATGATACATTGGTCACAGTCCGGGGGGCGAACTTTTAAGAGGCTTCGCGCCTGGCCACCAGGGGAGTTTCTCTGATGGTTGGGCTCATTGAGGCGCTGGACTGGATAAGACGGAGGCCCTCTTATTTCATGGGCCTATGAATAGGGGTGGCGACACTCCGTATTCTTAATCCGTCGCCACACGGACAACGGGGCACACAACAAAAAGAGAGGAATTAAAGAATTTTCCTAATCGATTCATCAATGACGGAATTCTGAGGTAACAAAAAACAAAACAAAACATAAAAATACAAACGAATTGAGAACCTCTTCTTTTTTCGAAGTCGATTAATTGAAATATCCTATCCAAGGAAAAAAGACAAAATGAAACAATAGCGATTTGAATCTATGGTGAGATAGATACAAATTACACGTTTTTTTCTTAAGAAAGAGAATTTAATGTTATTACTTAATACGCACTACATTATTCCAAAAAATTTTCATAATACTCGTACTTTCGAAAACTTTAATATAATAGAATCAGTCATTAGAAATGCATAAAGTGTGGGTTCTCAACTTGTCCTCCACCGCGTGAAGTTTTATAAAACACACCAAGAGCCAAGTCAAACTAGTTTCGTTAGTGAACAAAGTCAACTTATTAATATTAAATATTAAATCTAATCTGACTACGGTGATATTTATTAAAAAATATATTTGTGTCAGTTCTATTGTTTTTCAACAAGATAAGCACAATTTCTGAACTATGAAAAGTTCAATCTTTTTCTATCTCTTAGATACTTTTATTTTTATTAACGCTTATATATTCTTTGCTGTTCCATTATCGATGTGCATGTAAAAATCATTTCATAATGATTGATCATTCCTACGAACAATACAAAGCGAATAAAATAAAAACAAATAATTGTCGATATTTGAATATGATACATTATGGAGGAATAATTGGGCAGGAAAATTTTTACTGCACGGATAGCGTAGTGCTTTATACTGTGCTGAGTATTGTGGTTTTGATTCACACACAGGACATCACTTTGTGTGATCCAAAAATTGTTGTTCTGAGTCGTTCGTTACTTTTTTAAATGTTTGTAAAGTTCAGGTTCAGGATATACTCCTAGTGTGGGAGATGTTTTATAAAGAAAAAGGAAAGTACTCCCTGCCGACACAGGTAGTGTGGGTTACATCCCCTGCTTTTATGTAAGTTATATATATATTATTGAATACATTAATCAAGCTTGTCTTTATTGCTACAAACATGAAACAAACCCTCTACGAACTAACTCCATTATTCTCTAACACACTTTGTCCTAAATATCAACTACTGCCACCCTACTGATATGAATCATTATCGTTATGAATTTCGCGCACGCATGCCAAATGACGTCACAATAAGGGCTGTTACGTCACAGATAAAACAAATGAGGCGTTAAATTCGAGCCCACGCCGAAAACGAGACACGCCACAATGATTTACCAAATTGATTGAAAATTCTACTGTGTGTATAATAATATTGATACGTTCTGAGTTTCAGAGCCATTGTATTTTATTAGATTTACTGGAATATTGGATAGAGAAATAAGAGATTAAAGCCGCGTGATGTGTTGATGTCATCATGAATGATAATTAAGGATTTATTCCGACCGATTATTCGTAAATTAGGTTTTTGGATTTACAAAAGTTGCTTATCTTTACATCAATAAAACATTTTTAAATGTTTTTTTTTGTAACAGTTCTGTAGATGAACTTTATGTAAAATAAGATTTTCTGGGATTCGTGAAAAAGTTTGGTAATCGAACTCCATGATATATCGTGGAACCTCAAAATAATAACTTGGCACATCTCACACGCACCAAAGTACATTACGAATAATCTGCAGCATAAGAACATGAATGTGAACCTGATGTAGTAGTTTAGGCACAGGAAACCGGTATGAAAAGAATTTTTCGTTGTTTTTCACCGAGTGAGTGAGAAGACCAAACCACCCCAGCCCCCTCTTACCAGTTCTGAAGGGAGTCAAAGGATGACAACGTGATACAGGTGTTCATGGGGGTGGTAGTCACTTACCATCAGGTGACTTGACTGCTGGTTTGCCCCCTCTATACCACAACTATATATATATATATATATATATAATAAGCTGAAATCACCAGAAATACTTATTTTTAAGGGGCGTGGCTTAGTTGTGGCGTCACTTTCCGTCTAGAGTGAGGAAAAGCATGGTGGCAGATAAAAATAATTTAATAAGTATATATATATAAATTAGTAATAATGAGTTTTCATTAGTTCTAATTATCCCGGTTTTAAATCGAAAATATGATCAACCCTAAAGTGACCCATCTTTTCTATCAGCCTTTCGTTTATTTTCATAGGATGACTACTACATACTAACAAATGAATAAAAAATGGCAATTTAACCACAAATTAAAAAGTGGTACAGCAAATCATGCAATCGGAGCATCCGTTCCAACCATTTGTTCAGTTATCAGATCGAGCAAAATCGCGTGATCATCGTAGAGAGCTACGATTGCACCGGCGCATACCATGCTTAATGTGCACCAGTTTATATGTTTATCTTCCATATTGGGTGAGTAGTTTATTATGCTCCAAGTGTTTGCGGGACGTTTATTAACTCCTCGATAAATAAATGAAATACGGTATATATATGTACGTATATATTATGTATCTACCAGAATCTTTAATCTAGATTGCCCCGGCACAAATACCGACCACCCGTAAAGTGCCCCACTGTTTTTTGCGTTATCGACGCGCGCGCCGTGTTCCACTTAATCGGTTCTTGTGACTAAAGTTTGTATTGAAAGGGTGTCAAGTGTTATATTTATTTAGTTGCCTATGAAATTAGCTAAACAATGTTATCTTTCTATTTACAGATTACGGCTCTGGTGTTGAGTTACACTGTGTTGAAATTGAGATAACGTCTTTTTAAGCTCGTGTTGCACTTCGAAGCTCATAGTTTAAAAATGAAAGCGATGACCTATGGTTTTTAATGTTTAATTATGTTGTTTAGATAGTAGTTAATATGTTATGAAATAAAACCATATACTCTCCCATACATATTTATTTATTTACAGGCCTCTAAATCCTTACCATTATCGGCCGCCACGCGGCATAATTTATGTAAGACTTAACAAGGCATATCGTACACAAATATCATTGTTAGGAATATAAATAAGGTATAACTATATAAGTAGTCTTATATTCTTTTATTACAATCAAAAACAATAGGGATAACATACACCACTTTTGAATAATATGAACATTTCTGAAACAGTTCCCATGCTCTCAGTAACATAACTTAGTTTTCCAGATGTTTTTTGTTCTACATACTAAACAAAACAAAAATAACATTAACATTGCCTTATAATACATTTAATATCCTTTTCATTTAAATTTCACCAACACACATTTAAATTTCACCAACACACAAAATTATATCACAAAGAAATTCCAACACAGTCACTGCACGGAACGATTCGAAGACTGATGAAATGACAGAAGTTTTTATGACGTATAATTCTTTTTTTTACTAGTGTTTGCATGCTCGACTGAGATTAATACCATAGATAATATATCAGACTATAGAAAAAATATTACTAAAGAGCATTATGTCAATACAATTACTGTCAAATACTAATTAATCTGTGGCAGGAGCCATGTAGACTACCGGTCTACACGGGCACTAAAGCCTAAAGGGATTCGCATGCGTAAAAATTTTTTTCATCCCTCAGGCACTATTATTTCACTATGGGCAATATATTATTTCCCTAGAAATGCCGAGGCCACAAAGTACAAGGGACCTTGTACCTATACTAGGTATCTTACACCTTTCAAAGTGTCCCTGGCAACGTGTTTGGCTAAATTTTATGATCGAAGAATCGATACGGCAGGTTATACAATACAACTGATAGTATACAATTGATAGTGAGATACGCCGATTTTACGGAGCATGCTACATGTTTCTTTGTGTTTCAGTTTGCCAGCCTTTGTTGGCTACCTTGAAGGTGCAGATTTTTCACAAATACTGAGTGGTAACGATCACAACCAATATCCTGGCCTCTTAATATCTACTATAACAATCGCAATATCTGACCATTCTACAATCACGAAGATACCACATAGAAAAAGTTAGATGAATTTTAATACCAATGCTGTAGTGCGTAGTGGTAAGCAACTAAACATATTTATCATTTTATAGTAGATCAGACAGCAGTAGAATTGATTTTTTTAACGCTTCTATTAGCTTCGTATGTATCTATGTGTGTAACGGAATTTTCGAACGTGATTTTGACCTGCTTCGAAATAAATTGAAACTTATCAAGGAAAAACATACTTATCAAGGACCGATGACAATACAACAATTTGATAAATTTGGCCGATCATCCTGATCAGAATCATCAGGATAAACGGCTTCTTTTATACCTAGAAATACGGTAGAGTCTTTTGCAACGTGCTAAGAGCCTCATGCTGAAGCATATGTGATTTACTCACTTTTTACATTATTGAGAAAATAATCCATATTAATGACTAAAAAGGCAAAAATAAATTATAGTTTAAAAAACTAAAAACACGATTTTGTAACTAGATAATCTATAACTTTATTTTATTTTATTTATAGATTTAAATTAACGATATTTTTAATATTACTACTAATAATCATTTTACTGTAAAAAAGCGTGTAGTGTTTTTCAAGATATTTTAAAATATAATAACATTACTTTTACCAATATCTGTCGATACAATATCTTTGATAATAAAAAGTAGACATTACTAACCTGAGTAGGTAAAGCTTGCTGTCCAGCATATCGCTGGCTGAAAGATATAATAGGAGCTCCATAAGGTAGTGACGGGAAATCACCATTGAATACTATACGATCACAGTTCATAACTATCCTCAGCTGAAGTGCCCGGTCTACTTGCACCTTGCATCGGCACGGGTAGCGAAGGTCATCATTCAGTTCTGAGCACGGCACCCATTGCTGCTGGCCCACGATGTAAGGGATCGTGAACAGGAGTAGGAGCAGCCGCATTTTGTTCTAGAAAAAAGAGAAATACAAATTGAAATATTTCGAAGGAATCATCTATAAGAAATAAATGTAATTTTATAGAGATATATAATAAACTTGAATCCAAGTTATTTCATTTAAATCAACACACAGAAATCGCCTTCAATTCTATCTAATTTATGTAATCTAAATCTATTTTAAGTGGGCTAAAGCTCGGGCCTATACTTTGCTCAAACTTTAGATCCATACATAACATATAATATTAGTATATATTTATAAAACACCTATCCTTTTGTTAGAATAGTTCCTGTACAGAATCAAATGTAAATAGACTCATTAATCAACGCTGTCTGTATGTACATACATATGCTGTATGTCGATAAGCCAATATACGAGTCATATTAATTAATGCTGGGAAGAGATATTTATCGAGGAATCATCTGAACATAGGTGTTAATAGGCGTTAATGTCTGATGTTAATGTAAACACACAAACGTTATATAGTATACTAATATATATTAGCAAAGAATTTGTTATCCGCTTTATGATATACACTTGAAAACTAAAAACATTGGCTTTAGTACAACACATCACTAAAACTTAAGCTGTACTCTGAAAACTACAAGTACTTGTTACAGTGCCATATACAGACTCACTGAAACTGACATAAATATAAAATTGTATGGAAAAATGAATTCTGAATTGAAAATCTGAAGCAGGATTTCAGCACTTCCCCAATTGTTTTTCTAAAATACCGAGGGACTGACTTAAACATACAAATTCATCAAATGGAGGTCAGGCATTAAGTGGCGTACAACGGCTTATATTATAACGTCACACATATAAAGATTAGACATCTTTAATTAATTCTTGTCAATTTTTACACAAATGTTAAAAATTATGTTCTTGTAAAGTAACTTTATACACTTCCCTTTATAAATTGTTCTATTTTTTACGGAAATTACAATCAAAGTTTAAATTTGCTATCATAATGCTATACGCCATATTTCCTGGTTACATAATGAACTGAATGTTAAAGGGTCGTAAACAAACATTAGCCGAGAAATTATAATCTACCTTACATCAAGTTATTATCTTTACCATCAATGATACGACGTGTAATAGCGCAATAACGCATCAAGTGTCTATTTTAGCATAACCAAGGGCGCTAAGTAGAAATTAGTTAAATCTCATGAAATCTAATATACATTATTTATACATATACCTATACATACTCTCACGTCCATATTCCTGAAGCCGGTAGACTTTGCGGACTCTAATTTTAATTACCTGACCTTACCTAACTTACCATATAGAAGATATTAGAAGAGAAAATTGGAAGTAAATGGAAAGGAAAGGTAGGTAAAAAGCTAATGAAGTGTTGGAAAGATATTATACAATTTTTTTTTTATTGTATTGAAATGACAAATTCTACTTAACGTGTTATGTTTCACAAGAAACATTATGTAATCTTACCTGTGAAATCCCTAGTCTAATTCTCTTAGCTAAAACAATTGTTATAAGTTACATAATTGTGAACGCGTTTAATAAAATCTATAACTGTCAAATGTTATAAATTTACTTTCAATGACCGTTGGTAACAAAAAATAATATTTTAAATAGTATTCTCAGTAGAAATAAATGACCTGATAATTCAATATTATTCTCTATTTTCGAGAACATTCTAGGTTATTACCGTTAATAACGTTTGCAGATAAAATAAAAAATATACCAAAGACTCGTAAACATGGCCAACAGGTTTACGACCTGATATTTTATTCATTTTGATCAGCTACAACATTTATTTCTGTTGGATATGGTAGAACTAATTTTTAAGAAAATAAAGATAGGAACAGTAAATAGCTTAAAGCTCCTGTAATTAATTATTTGTTACTTACTTAGTTAAAGAGATATTTATTTAAATTTAACAAACGTCTTCAAACAAATCAATCAATAAGTTAATGATTAAGACAAGACAATAATGAATTCCTATGAATAAAAAACTTTTTTTGATTTACGTATTTGGAGAACACTAAGTAGAATAATAAAATACATTAAGTACTAAGTTATAATGATATGAGAAACTTAACGCCGACTCCCATTGAAAAGTGTGGACTGAAAAGTAATGCTGATGTGAAAGTTTTGTGGTTGTGAAGACTCATAAGTCAGGTACTTAACATTAAAATGTTATATAATACTTGTACTGGCTGTACTTTGGGGCAAACAGATATAGGATAGAAATTCTTCTCCCCTCTCTTTGTTACAGACAAATAAAGCGACAGATTGGCTACATTTTTCCTTTAAATAGTTATGGTATTGTAGTACTGCTTTAGTCACAACTAATGCATCACAAACTATATTGGTTTGTAAATCTTAAGAACTCTGTAAGTCTGTCTGTCTCTTAAGAACTGTATATGAAAGTGCATATATAAAATCTGTATGTAACAGTATCAAATAGACGTATGTATTTCAACACAACTCCAAATATTTTTAGGGTAGTTTATCTAAGCTGCATCTCAAATAAAATGCAGCTGTATTCGGTAAAAAACAAAATTTAAATTTCAATGCAAAACGTGATAAACGTGACCATCGTGCTAATATTGTAGATTAGCAGTCGGTGTCTGAAGCTACTTGGCACAGATATGCAAATTGCGACTACCAAACGTTATGCAATTACAAGCCTCTGCACTGTAAATAGTATAATATAACGCTACACAGTAGTATTCAGTTTCCCTTGTCATTTAATACTTACTCCAAAACTTTAACAATGACCACCAGATAATGGCTAAACAAAAAGTAAAACTTAAAAGTAATCAGTTTTTGAAATCCTAGTCAAAATTATAATTGTAGTGTAGTAGTAGTAGTATAATTTACAACTGAGTGACGTATTGTGGGACCATGTGACAGTCTTTTACTTTATGCTCAAATATGTGAAAGAAATTCAACGTCACAATGTTGTCAGTTTTCTATTGTAAATACGCACGGGGTGACATACTGCGAAAAGGTTTTGAACACTATGTTATTGTATTAATGTTTTATTCTTGACTTGACTTCTAAGCCTTGTTTACTTTATAAGTTAAATGTATCTTGAATACTAATTTTTAAGTTCTTTGATGTTTTAAATTACTTTTGGTTCAGCCAACAGTGTTAGTCTAAAAGCTATTTCCAATTAAGCGTCAAACAACGAATTATCTATTTCTTGAAATTTAATATTCATATTCATTATTGCACACTGTCATATAGTGCAAAATTACTCATTAACTGACATTTTTGCATCAATATATGTTATAAAAGACAAAAGAATTGTCTAACATTGTGTATTTTTAGTTTCCCAAATTATAAAACCCTACACACTCAGGAGAAGTTCAAAACAGTCGTTACAAAAACAATTACAACGAATATTAAATTGAATGTAGAAACCATTTAATGTTTGTAATTTTCCTTCTACACGCCAAACGTATGCTTATCTTTTATTATCTATTTATCTATAGTCTACCTATACAACACACACGTATAATCATTACAAATGCAAAAGCCAAAACATAATGGTCCCCTCAGTTGCTATATACTTTCTTTGAAGACTAGCTTCAAGAAAGAAATTTGTATTACGGTGATAATTAGATTTCTTCTAGATACGTACGCAAATTCAAAACGTACAGGAATTAGGAGTCTTATTTAAACAATACCACTATAATTTTCATCATCAGTCAGAATGTATTTAGCTATTGATTACAACAATTTAGGAGGTTGTAAGTAAATGAAATATTTGAAAACTAATTTTAAATAAAAAATGTATTCATTTATTATTAGAAGCAGCTTCTATTTCTATAAACTTGTCACTGACCTAGCATTGCACATTATTTATTATTGTGCTTAAAACGCATTTGAAAAGGATCTAATGCCAATAAAATTTGCTTTTATAACGTCAGCAATTTGTTTGTAAAGTTGATGGAAATTGTCTAGACTGCATCATCGATAATTGGACGGCTAATAATTTTAGAAGACCAAGTTTTTGTACAAATAATCAGACTAGTCAAACGCTATGAATTTGCTTTATAAACCAATAATTACAACTTTTAAATTTGTTATAGTTAGATCATATCAAAGTTAGTTAGAAAAACGGTTTTAATCTTCAAAGTACGAAGTTTGGTTGGTTTTATACAAATTTAACAGAAAATATCAAACCACTGTCAAACTCCAAATAGACAATAAATTGATATCTTATAAAATTTTCTAATACTTCACTAAGGAGATGTCGCTTAGTGTTTCACAATTATACCCAGCGCAAAGCTCTGTGTGACACTGCAATAATTTAAGTTTAAAAACACGAATGGTAACCCTTAGTAAGGGGAAAATTTGTTCCGTATTTGATAGCTGGAAAACGAGCGGTGTGCGAATTCCGAATGGGTAAATTATTAACGAAGCTCGATTTATGTGAAAAGTTTGTACGATCGCGTCCAAAACTAGCATAGTTGGTTCGAAAACTTCTTCCTTACTGCCATCATCGGCTTCTCATCTCCTCGAACACAATTTTTGATATATCCGAATAAAAATTTCAACATCCTTTCAAAAGTTCTTAAACTTTCGATCTTGGTAAATAAAAACATGGATTTACTGTAATCTTTTCTGTGCAGAAAATCCCAACTTTTCGATGTAAAAACAATTTGGGGAGAACGCGTTGACAAAATTATTTAAATTCAAGTTTTGTTAGGAGTAATCCATGGCTTTGGTGCTTGTAATAATGTTTTTTAATAAAGGTCAAAGTGTGATATAAAAACACTGTAAGGTGAAATACCATGGAACGAAAATCCAGTCCAGCCAGTTGAATCTTACGCATTGTGATTAGATTAAATTATTTTGAACATCTTTGCTTTATGTGATATCTTCTATGCTTTTGATGATAAATTCAGTCGACAATTACGATTGCGTTCAAGTTTTCGTAATTTATACGAAAGAAAACACTTCCTTCAATTTTTTTAATTAAGAATCACTTTAAATTTGAAAGATTTTACGTACGTGGTGCT